TATATATATATATATATAATTTTAAATTAACTACTATAAAAGTTAATATGTAATTGAATGATTGTGTAAAAAATAAAAAAATATTTACATAATTATTTATTCAAGATTTAATTTCAATCTTAAATTTTTGGCATGATTTAAATATTTATTTTTATCTTAGTTACTTAAATTTTCTTTAGATTAGTTATTTAATTTTAATTAAATGAAATATATTCTTTACTTATCTTCTTTTTTACGAACTAGTGAAATAAAGTGATTATAATAGTATCACATTAATTATAAAAAGAACGATCTCAATTAAAAAAAATGAAAGATCTTTTATATCCTAATTATAAAATATAATTTACCAAATAAATAACTATATTCAATCTAATGCAGTAATATAAGTTGTGAGTATAAGTGTAGAAATTGTGAGTGATAAAATACATTGAATTCGCACATATATTTACAAACTTTGGTAAACAAATATTGGTGCTCAGCTAATTTTTTTTTTTTTTTGTGCTTGAATTCAATTAACTTAATAAATAATTTCCTTTTTGGTTATATTTTTTTTTGGGAAATCAAATCGAAAGATTAAGTCGTCTTTTTATTTATTTATTTATTTTGTTAATGGGCACAGCAAAGGTACTTGTGTAACTTCTTAGAATTTGGCTTACGCATTCACAGCTACAAATAGATACATAAATTGGAAGACCCATCATATCAACGTCGTCTACACAGCCAGCAATGCATCTGTTATTGTTTGGACAACTTTCACTTATAATTGTACTGCCTACAGAAATTTAGTCACTTCTCATACATCGTATTTGGACTAAACTCTTTTACTATTTATACCACGAAATTTCATTTTCCAATCCAAACCATGAAAAGATGTCTAGAGAGATCAAGTCCATAACTTGTACTCCTCCATCTCATATCAAGTTATTTTACAAAATAAAAAAACAATAATAATTATAAAATTAAAATTATAACCAATCTTTTTTATTAGAAACCGCGCAATACAAAATTATTTTCTAGAAAATATTCTGAAAAAAAGAATAATAATTAATTTAATACTATGTTAAAAAAATTAACGTAACAATTATATTGAGACTTTTTTAAAATACGATAATTATTATGGAATGAAGGACTACAAATTTAAAGTTTCAAAACATTTTATTGTAACACGGTGTTGTCACTATTTATGGTTTTATTTTTTTTTAATTTGTATTTATTTGTTTATAAAAATTGTTCCAAATCAATTACATAAATAAAATACTCACATTGTGTTCAAAGTTTGATTCCTATTTTTGGTATGAAATAGATAATACTGTAAAAGAAATATTCATTTTTTCTACATTTACAGTTCTAATTAACATTAGTCACTATTTATGGTATCAATATCATATTACCCAATAAAAAATAAATAAAATGTTGATATTGTAAAAAAATTTAATTTCTTTTATAAGATAATATTAATGTAAAAAATAATAAGGATACAAAATAATTTATTGGGTAATTTTTTTTTCTCAAAAATAATTTATAATTTTATCTAGATTATTCGATATTTTTTTTACTTTAATTATATAATATAAATATTTTTTAATAATTAATTATAAAAGCATAATAGTGTTTGAATATATTACTATAATTACAGTGTATTAACTTATTTCTATGGTATAATCTTTTATTCATTACTTAGATGGTATCTTATGGTAAATGTAAATAATTATATTGTATTAGAGTATATTTAGAGACTATTTTTTGAGATAAGTGTTTTTAAGAATTATTTTAATTTTTTTATTAAATTTAATTCTTATTTATTAATTATAATTTAATATTTTTAAAATAAATTATTAATAATTAAAAATAATTTTATGTTTTAATATAAATTATATATTTAAATATAATATTTATTTGTATATAAATTTTATTATAAAATTTAATTATATATAAGAAATATTTAATCTGTGAAATGAAAATGTTAAAATTCTAAGTTTTATAATATATAATATAGTAATAAAAATATACGCTGTTATAATCTTGAGAATTTTCTTTTGCACAATACGCTCAATTATGATTATGGTAGATATAAATAGATGTTTTTTCACACTCAATTAAGTTATCAATTTTGTTAATCAATACAATTTAATAAAAGAATTACATTTAATATGATAAAAACATAGTAAATGTCCCAAGACAAAGTAAGTGTCATAACCTGATAGGAAAAAAAAAAGAAAAAAAGATAGTAAATATCTAAAATTTTTCTTCTCTCAGATTTTTTCTTCCTTTCCATCTTAACCAAAAAACTAAAACAAGTAAAATCTAGAAAAACGTATTTCGAGCGTCGTTTTTTTCTTCTTCTTAATTTCTATGTATAAAATGTGTATCAAATAAGGACTTAATAGTATACAATCTTATTTTTCTCTTTTTAAATATATTCGTCTGATCTTTAAAATTATAAACACCAATTAATTAACTTATTAATTTTATAAAATATTCTTTATTTACCTTTTTATTATTAAACAGCAGTAGGCATGGCAACGGGGCGGGGCGGGGCGGGTTTTACGTTCCCCGCTCCCCGTCCCCGCCCCGCAAATTTAAATCGCCCCCGCCCTCGCTCTCGATACCTGCCGGGGATAAAATCTGGGTTCTCATCCCCGTCCTCGGCCGGGTTCGGGTTTCCCCGTCTCATCCCCGCCCCTGCTCTTATTTTTTTTCTTTTTTTTTTCTTTTAAATAAATATGAACAATTTAAAAAAAATAAAAGAAAAGTAAAATAATATAAATTTTTAGATATAAATATTTCTAATTTTGATTTATATATATAAAAAAATAAGTTTTTAATTATATTATTAAGCGGGGCATAGACGGGAGAGAGGTGGGTATTAACATCCTCGTCCCTGTCCCCGCCCCTAATTTTATCAATCGAGGAAAACCCGAACCCGAACCTGATGAACACGGGTTTTTCCCATCAAATCAGGACAGGTTTGGGTTAATACCCACGAGGGCAGGTTAGATTATCATGCCTAAACAGCAGTAAAAAAAAAAAAAGTATGAAAATAAAAATATTAGTAAAATAAATGAGTGTATGATGGTTTATTTATTTTTTGTTAGAATTTTCATGCTGCCACCCACTCCACCGTACGAAGACAGCAGAAGAGAGAGAAAGAGGTTGAGGGTTGTGTAGATGTGAACACATAAGGGAGATAGGGGCTGCATTCAGCGGGAAACTCCAACCCGAATCATTATTTTTTTGCAGTGTTTGGGTACAGACCCAGACCCAACCTTTGATAACGTCAAGACTAAAGACACTTGGTAAACGGCCAAACACTTTCTACCGATGAGTAATTTAATTGTTACAAATTAAGTTTTCTATTCTTGCACCCAATTACCAATGTGGTAATTTAATTTCTGGTGGATTGTATTGTAAATTAAACTCATTACATGTTATTTTATTGTTTTCAGTTTTTTTCTATCATCCAACACCAACACCAACACCCTCTCTTCTCTTCTCTTCTCTTCTCTTCTCTTCTTTCTCTCACTGTGTTGTTTTGTTCTATCCCCAATCGAATAAAAAGCACCTCCCATATCCAACATGCTTGCTTTCTTTCTCTATTCATTCTGACTCACTCCTTCGCCGATTCTCCAATTAGATCGCCCTTTTCCCCTTTCATCTGGTCAGTTTCTTCCATTTAACCTACGTCTTTTTTTTTTTTTTTTTTTTTAATTATTATTATTATTTTTCTGTGTGTGTGGTTAGTTTTATGAGAAATTTACAAAGTTTGAAATTCCATGGCTTATTTATTTATTTATTTTGGACGGGATTTCTTAGGAGGGTTGGTTGTTGAACTATGCTGGTTTTTGTTGGTTCATGAATCTCTTTAATTCAGCTTGGTTTTGTGTCAATTGAATCCAGTTTGGTGTTTTCCGTATCGGAGCTGATCTTGTTAAGATTTTTATTTCTTCGTTTTTCCCGATTTTATTCGTTAACTTGTGTGAAAACGTGCTGACTTTGTTATTGAGGTTTCATCTGACTTTGTTATTGAGGTTTCATCTATTTACGCAGGGGGTGCGCGAATTACCGGGACTCAATCAATTGGCAATGCTGCATTAGTGGGATTGGTTCCGCGAGATTCTTTATCTTATATGCTAATTCCCAAGGTTAGGGCACAAGATTAAGAAGCACACTTAACCTTGATCTTTAGTTACACATTAGCTTTGTTAACAGTGATCAGCTTCCTGTGTTAAGGTATGTTTATTTGTAATTTTGTTGCCTTATGCTATGATGCTTTTGTTGATATACGAGGTTTCATTGAAGCATATATGGGTTACATCTTACGTGAACATGTTTTTGCAGAATTGTTGCGTTTGCCTTCTGAACATTTTCTTGTTTTGTTGAACAGCGCTGGAAATTTTAGTGCCTGACTTACTACTGTACTGAGGAATTCATTTCATATATTTTATTATATTGAGTTAGGAAAACAGTAGATTCCTTCAATGCAAGGGCAGAGAGGTACAATTGGTTCAATGCCTGAAACTTTAGAATTTGATTGTGGATCTGCATCAAGTAGTTCTACCATGGATCAGCAGATTTGCTGGAATAATGTGAATCCTGCAGAAAATCAAATACCTGATTATATACTTTCTCCTGGTGATATGAACTCATCTTATGTTAATTCTATTAATCATGAATGGCAAAACTTGAGTGGGTGGAGCTTAGGCGAGCCAAGTTCCAGTAATACCCCAAATGAGATTAACAATAATGAGCAGAAAAGAGAACTTGGATGGTCATCAACCATTTCTACCGGTGCATTGGCTGGTCCAAGACTAGAAGAAAGACGCCATGAACCAAGCAATGCTCTTTCACTAGACAATGTCAATACAGGTCCAATGTACACACGTAGCCCCAATTCTCGTTTGATATCCCAGAATCTCAACTTAAATGCAGGCTTAGAAGACAATGGAAGTGATATTGGTCAACATCTGGAGCTTCCTAACTTACACAAGTCTAGTGGGTCAGCAAATGAGTGTATGCCATCTAATGTTGGATCTGGTTCTTTTCTGCTACCTTCTGGAAATAATGGCTTCTTGGTAGAAGAAGATACTAATGGTAGGCCAGATTGTTCCCTTGATACTCGACGTGTCTCTTGTAAAAGAAAGGCTGTTGAAGCAAATACCGGACAATCTTCAGATGGTGGAAGTTCTAGCTACAGTCAGCATACAGATGGAAGCGCTTGGAACACCATTCCTACCCAGGATAATGCTGGAAGCAGTTCAAGAAGACCCATTTCCTCAGAACAGGTCAACGCAAGACTTGGCCTGGGTATGGGGGATGAAGCATCTGCAAACATTCCTGATTCAAACATTGCAGGAAGCTCAGAAAGCTTTCATAGGAATTTCCGTTTGAGGTTAAATCCTTCAAACCAGCAAAATTCTGTTCCTCCCACTGCATTCTCAACTGGGAGCATGATTAGGCATTCTGGTGTTTCTTCATCCTCTCAAATACCACAAAGGTTTCATGCTGTTGATAATTCTCTGAACTTGAGGCCAGCACCTCCAATAGATAATGTGGTTCCTCAAAGCCAGCCACTTGTAATTCATGTTCCTGCTTTGCCTAGGAATAGGCAATCATTTAGATGGAGTGGTGGTTCTAGTTCAAGAAACATCCATTCATCAAACTCAATAATATGTGCAGACCGGGATCAGGAGGATGCAAGCTCAAGAAGGATGTCTAGAAATATCTTAGAACATCCAGTCTTTGTACCTGCAACCGATTTAAGAAATTTGGTTCAAAATCCAACAGTTAGAGCTTCAAGTTCAATTAGTGAAAATTTAAGTATTCCAGGAAATGTTGCTTCTTCATCACGGACTGGATCAAATCCAGTTAACAATCCCTCATCTGCCTCTGCTTGGGCTTCTCGTCCTAATCCTCAACAGAATCAACGTAGGATATCTGAATATGTCCGTCGGTCCTTGTTTTCTCCTGGTTCTGATGCTATTGGAAGTCCAAGCAATAATTATTCTTCCTTGCGCCCTGGTCTTTCTACATCTGAACCAAGGGTGTTATCTTCTGGGAGTGGGGCAAACCCAAGATCATCTTCATGGATGGAGAGACAAGGAGATAGTGAATTTGGAATTCCGTATTCACTACGTACTTTGGCTGTTGCAAGTGAAGGAAGTAATAGACTTGTATCAGAGGTTTGTATTCAGTTATCTTGTCTCTTGCATTTAAATAATCTTTACTGCTGGGAAATATTGTTGCTTTAATAATTATATTAAGTATTCAGAGGCATCTAAGTTACGACATTTCTTTGAAATTTAAACTTTTGTTCCAGAAATTGTTTAAGTAGAAACTTGCCAATTTAAAAATTGCATCTTCAATTCCAACACATTTAGTTTGCATCATATGTAATTAGAGCTAGTTAAGACTATTTTAGTCCAGCCTCTAGTTGTTATTTCTTATGAACCTTACCTGAGCTTTATTTTCATTCTATCCTAACGTTTTGAACAATTTTTGGCTTCTAATTTATTTAAAGCAAACTCTTGGAGAAGGAGGTATGATTTTGAATATAACTGTTACTAATGATGTCTGGCAAACATAGCATTTCTGGGAGCAAATTTGATAAGCATTTACTCCTATTATTGGAATTGGATGCTCTTGCTCAATCATCACACTTGGTTTGATTGCATCACTTTGGCTCTACAATAGTACGATTTAGTTCCAATCTTCAAGGGTATTGAACCTCAACTAGCCTATAAGGCCATAAAGATCCAAAATAGTATAAAGCCAGTCAAAAACCTTTCCTCAGAAGTCACAAAATACCAAAAAAATAATCCTAATTGCATGATTAAAGCGGAATAAAATTTTCAGTAGCTAATGTACCACTATACATAACCTATTTTATTAAAATTGAACTCTAGTCTCCAGAAAAAAAAAAAGAAGATAAATTTAGTTGTGTTTAATCTTTATGCCAATATCCTGTTCTGCCTTATGACAATATTTCGGCTGTTTTTTAAATTCTCTTGAAAGTTGCAGTATTTTATTATCTTTCACGAATAACTTTTCTCTTGTAAATGACATTTTTTTTCCATGGTGCAGCTCCGCAATGTTTTAGGCCTTATGCGTAGAGGTGGTGGGAATGTGCGATTTGAGGTTAGTTATTCTAAATTAATGGCGTATACTGACAGATAGATGTTAAGTTTCCTTTACCTTTCTATCTGATTTTCTAATAGTGCCATGATGGATTCAAAGTTGGTTTAATCCCTATAAAGATCTAATGCAAAAAAATATAATTACTTGTCCCATTGTTTAGCAGTGAGGATTGAGTTGTTATGTTGATCCTAATGGGCCTACCAATGATGTTGATTTATTTGTAATTTTGATTGGATTTACGCTTGGATTCTCGAAAGTATATTCTGTCCATATCTGTCCAAAGGTTGCAAGCAATACTGATAAAAATCTGATGCTATATTTGAGATAAAATTGGAAGGATGCAAATTTTTGCGCATTATTAGCCATTATATCTTGTATGTTTTGGATAGAACTGGATCAAGTTTGTGAGCAAATGAATGAACCTTTATTTTGAACCCTAGCTTCCCAATCCTGCTCCTAAGGGGGTTCAATACTAAGTACTGGAAATTATACAAAGAATAGTGAATTCCTGAGTTTTCAATAGATCCAGGGCTCTCCCCCTCTATTTCCTGAATTGCAACTTCTGCCCCTTCCCTCTCTAAATTTCCCTATTTATTCTTTTTGCCTAACTAACTCTGGCCATAGTTAGTTAAACTCTCTTCTAAACTACAACAACCCCTAAACTAAGAGGTTGTGTTCTTGAGTATAGTTATTGTAATTAATAGAATTTAATTTAACTTTTTATTTTTAATTTGACTTTAAACCCTATACAAATTGTTAGGCTCTTGAGAATTGAAAAGTTTAGTCTCTCTAGGTTCCTGAATTTAATGTGATCAAGGCTATATATAGGAGTGATTTCCTCCATTTTGTAATCATATTTGAAATAAAATTACCTTTCAGTTTCCTCCTTTCAAACCTTTCTAGTTTTCAAGTGGTTATTCTCTGCTTCCCTTTTAGGCTTTTTTGTTTCCTTTGATAAACACTCTTGATGAAGGGCCTTGGTCTATCAATACCACCCTTTAAAGTGCCACCCCATCCTCAAGGTGAAAGGCTAGAAAGGCAGCCATGATATTAGCTGCAGGATGCCCAGCTGTCTTCACAAATAGGGAAATTATACCAGTGGACTAATATTTTTAAGTCTCTTGTGGACTTTGTTGGGTTTCAAGGATTTGTTCAGGTTGGACCTGCAGTTCATGTGCATCTGACCATGTGGGTGTGAATGGATTATGGATGTGCTGCTACTGAGAAGAGACTGCTTTCTTCAACTAAGAGATATGAATGATAGGGTGAATTCTGCCATCTTTGGTCATATCCAACCTGTATGCAACCTTGCCAATCCTCTCTAGTACCTTATTAGGGCCATAAAAGCGTGGCTGAGCTTCTAATCAGGTTCTGGCCAATATAAACAGTGTAAATGGATGTAGTTTTAGAAAAACCTGATCCCCTACCTGAAATTCTAATTCTTTTCAATGTTTGTTGGCAAGTTTGTTACTGGTCCTGAGCTTTTAATAAATTGACTTTCATTTCAGCCAATAACTCATCCCTTCCTTTTGTCAGCTTATCCACTTCCTCCACCGAAGGGATGGTAGTCACTCTTAATATCAAAGGTGAGTCTTGGCCATATAGGGTTTTGGTTGCAGCACTGCAATTAGTGTTGAACCAAAGTTCTTCCCAGCCCAAAACATTAAGTCACAATTTAGGTCTGGTTCCTGTTAATCGTCACAAATTAGTCTCCAGCTTGTGATTCGTCACTTGAATCCAACTGTCAATTTACAGGTGATATGCTGTACTATATTTCAGTCCAGTACCTTCCCTTCCTGAAGAGTTCTTTCCAAAACTGGCTGAGAAAAAAGTTTATCTCTATCCGTAACAACTAACAATAGAAGAAGAAAAACCATGCAGCCTCACAATCTTTTGAAGGAAGATCCTGGCCACCTCCTGGGCTATAAAAGGATGGCAGAGGGGAATGAAATGGGTGTACTTTGTCAATCTATTAACAACCACCAGAATTGTATCTTTGCCTTTCACTTTCAATAATCCACCAATAAAATCTACTGAAATCAGTCCAGACTTGGCTGTGTATCGGTAGTGGCCGGATCCAGCTGGAGGTAGTTTAATACTTGTTTCTTTGACTGATTTCATAGGCACTCACAAATTCCTGTATATCTCGTTTTTCCTTCCCAATAGAATGCTGCAGCAACTCTTTTAAAAGTGAAGAAAAATCCGGCATGTCCCCCCCACCCCAACTAATTCATAGCCAACATGAGAAACTGGATCTACAATCAGGTTCTGGATTATAATTTGCAATCTTGCTTCTTGATGTACCTCTATATCCCACTCCTCCAAGTCGGGTTTTGAGGACTGCAACTGGTCTTAAGTTAACCAGATTGTTTGTCAGTAATATGATCCTATTTCTGTGTTAAAATTCTCAAGCCTAACAAGTCTCCGCTTGAAAGATTTTATTCATATCACTTAAATCATTCTTGGAGTTGTTGGTACATTGTATGTAGGTCCTGTCATTTTATGTATTCTGTAGTTGCTTATTGTAGAGTCTTGCATGTAATTAAAAGAGATTTTAGTTTTAGAGTGTTAGCTCATGTGTGGGCTGGTGTTATGGTCTCTACTAAACCATTTGTTTGTACATCACAGTGAGGAGTCTAGTCTTTGGAAAAGTAATAAAGGGTTTCTTTTTGTCAATGTTTTTTTAATGTATAAGCAAGCTCATAATTTGATAACAAATATATAATTTTTATCTGTTTATAATCTCAATTTGGTTGGCTATTTAATATTTGGCTTAATGGATATCTATAGTAAGCTTGTAAATGCTGGTGTAAGATCCGAGTTTTCATTTTTTGACAGGATGTTGTGATCCTTGATCATCAATCGTTTCTTTCTGGAATAGCGGATGTTCATGACCGACACAGGGATATGCGACTTGATGTTGATAACATGTCTTACGAGGTAAAATCTCATTTTTGCATCTGGAAGCAAATGTTAATATATCTATGCACCATAATGTCAGTTTATCCCTTGCTTTAGAGTTTCTTATGTCACATTTGTTTACTATAACAGGAGTTGTTGGCTCTGGAAGAGCGCATTGGAAATGTGAGTACCGGATTGAGTGAGGAAACCGTATTGAAGCACTTGAAACAGAAAAAGCACTCGGTTGAAAAAGGATCTCAGATTGATGCAGAACCCTGTTGTGTTTGTCAGGTAAATTTGAGTAGTTGACTTGCTTATATTCCCTACATGCTTGTGCACACTGATCTCATCACTTGATTATGATGTCTGCAGGAGGATTATGGTGATGGAGATGATATTGGAACACTTGATTGTGGCCATGATTTCCATAGCAAGTGTATCAAACAGTGGCTAATGCATAAGAATCTGTGTCCCATTTGTAAGACAACGGGCTTGGCAACATGATGTCTGTGACTCTGTCCTTAGGCAAATACCATGATCATGATGATAAAAATGGCAGAATTTACCCAGGAAATTCTGGTGCTTTGCTGCCTTGTCATACCTTGTTCTTTATCTGTAGCCTAGTAAATTCTCGTACCTGACTGGCAAAGGTCCCATACCCTTCCTCCCCCGAATTTGTTATATCATTTTGTTTATTTATCTAAAGCCAATGATCGCCCGCTTTAGGTGATGGATGATTGGTTTGGATGAAGGAGCAATTCTTAACTCAAGTTGACAAGGTTTGGTTTCGTTTTTGAAAAAAAATTATACTGCACATTGGATTTGTGCTGAACGGAAAACTAGGTACAAGAAATATTGTTGAAATGCAAGAATCGTAGGTACTTTATTTACGTGTTTGAGAGTGTTTTATTAAACTAAGCTCCCGTAATTGCTATTCCTTGCTTTCGTTGACTTGTATATGAGTACTAATACTAATTCTCCCGTAAAAGAAATGGAAGGAGAAATTATCTTAGTGTGTACCAAGGAAATACGAGAAACTAGAGCAACATTAGCTGCTACAGAAGTAAAATGCTAGCATTTTTCAGTGTTGCCCATTTAAAAATAAATTCGAATGAACAATATGTTCGCTGTTCGGTTCAAAGGAGGGGAAAGGAGAGGGAAATCTTGATGAAGAAAAAGGGAAGGGAATAATAGAAAGGAATTTCTTGTTTACTTGATTAAAGGAAAGGGCTTTCTTGTTTGCTTAATGACAAAATGAGATAGTGTTACAACTGTTGAAGGGGTTTTTTTTTTTTTTTTTTTTTTTTTTGTGGGGGGAGGGAGGACAACAAATGAATTCTTCTTTAGGAGTTCAGTTCTTCATTATGGGCTTTTGGTATTTGGACTTCACCGAGTTAGGTTCACATATATTTCTTTTGAAAGTTTTTATGATATTATAGCTTTCTGATCTGCTCGTGGAAAAGCCTTTGTAATAGTAACATCATAATCTTTTGGAAAAAAAATCTTTTAATAATATTTATAACATAAGTTTAATTAATTAATTTAATTATGCTTATAATATAAATAAAAGGTGTTTTTTTTTATAAATAAAATAAATTTGAGATAAGTTGTGGGTTTGAGAGGAGTTTTTGACGATCTAACTTGAAGTCCTATTAAAAAGAAAGACAAATAAAGAGGAAAATCAAGAAAAGAACTTCAAGAGTGCATGAAGTAGTTTTAGAATGATGATCGTGCATGTGCATTAGGGAGTGAGAATGTCTCACCTTATGGTCATGTATGAGGTGTATAGGTAATGAAGTGATTTCTAAGAATTTATTTTTGACGTATTTGTGAGAGAAAAGATACACACTAGAAAGAGGTTGAATAATGTATATCAAAAACTCACTTTTTGAAATGCAATGAAGTAGTAAAAACTTTTGCAGAGAAGTGCTAGAATGCAACAAATGAAGGAGCATAAATTTTTTATATTGGTTCACCTCAAACATAAAGACTACGTCGAGTTCTCAATCCAACTAGATTGAGTTCTATTATATTTCAAAAGATACAAATATTCTTTAAACAAGTCACTTTTGGCTCAAGCCTAAGTAGTCTTTGACTTGTATCTCCAAGCAATTACTTAAGTATTCTTTCAACAAGCCTCTTTAGGCTAAGCACTAAGTTTTCTTTTGAACAAGCCTCTTCAGGCTCAACACTAAGTATTCTTTTCAACCAAGCCTCTCTAGGCTCAAATACTAAATATTCTTTTAATAAGTCTCTCCGAACTCAACCCTTACAAATAGAAATTTGAAAAGAGTTATAAAAATAGCTTTGTGTCTTCTAAACGTGATGTTATGAAAATTAAGCACAATTCAATTGTACAAGACAAACTTTTTCTATAATATGCACTTTGTTTCTTTTATTATTTTCTTGTTGCCTATCTTGTTTTCTTCTTTGATTGAGAATCCTTTATATAGTAGTTTGGAAGATGACCAAAAGCAAAATTATAAGGGTTTAGGCTCAAAGTGGACAATATTATACCAATATGGAGATATGTGTGTGTGAGTGTGAACCCCTAGTGTCTAACAATGGTATCAAAGTTGATGATTTCAACTAGGTGATCGGCTTAAAGTCTTAGATGAGTATTTTGCAAAAGGAGGCAGTGGATTCAAGTGTGGGATCCCTTGTGTTCAAAGTCTTCCTGATAGTGTGGAGGTTAAGTGACGTGTCCCATTGATGTAAGCTAATGGCAGTGCAAGTATCTAAAGTTGGGAAAGTGTGGCTAAAGCTCCAAGAACTCCCATTTCGTAGATGGAAAAAAAATTCACTAAAGGGAGGTTAAACCATGGTCCTTATTTTGAGAAGATAATTATTGGCATACACACAAAGTCTCGCATCATTGGATCATGAGGAGAAATATTTATAAAGCAAATATAGGCTACATTGGTATGAGACCTTTTGGAAAATGACCAAAAGCAAAATCATGAGAATTTAGGCCTAAAGTGGACTATTATACCAATGTGGAGACATGTGTGTGTGTGTGAAACCCCGGTATCCAACATTTCCTTGCTAACTTACCTATTTTTTTTATGGCAAACGCTTCCAACAATACTATGTGAAAATGGGTGTCATTTTTGGTTTCCAAGAAGTGCTGGAAATTATGAAGAACGAGATTCAATAAGTGGAAAAAGATGCTATAGATGTGCAACAAGCAACTTACAAATAGTTAAAGAAGAAAGACTATAAAGCTCTCTTCTTGATCCATCAATATGTGGATTCTATAAATTTTGAGAAAATTTGCTCAACTAGTTTGATAAAAGAAGCTTGAGGTATTTTGCATAAATTTATAGAGGTATTGATAAAGTGAAAAAGGTGAAGCTTCAATCTATTCGAAGGTAATATAAGTTGTTGTCTATGAATGATTATGAGTCCATAGCTGATTATTTCAATTGAACTCAAGCCCTTATTAATTCGATAAAATCTTATAATGAGAAGTTTACAAACTAATAGATTATAGACAAGGTATTGAGAACTTTGACTCCTCGTTTTGATCATATTATGGTGGCAAATGAGGAATCTAAAGATCTTGAGACGATAAAGGTAGGGGAGTTATAGAATTCCTTTTAAGCTCATGAACAAAAGCTAAATGAGAGGAAGAATGGTGAAATGACTCAAGAACAAATCTTGCTGGTTTAAACCAACTACAAGAAGAAAGGTGTAAGTGGTTGGAACAATAAACAAAAATAAAAGTGGAAAAGTGTCAAGAGTGGTGAGTTGGTGACTCATCACATAGACAAGATCAATGTCAGACTGAACATGATAAAGATGAGTCTTCAAAAAATGATTGGGTGGTCCATCTCAAATATATTGGGAAAAGAAGAACTTTGATAAGAAGAAAATCTAGTGTTGTAATTGTCAAAATTGACTGATATTTTGTATATATTATTAATGAAGACCAATTTACTCAATTTGGTATAGTTGTTAATGAATATGAAGGAAAATCATATAGAGATATTTAATTAGAAGCAAAAATTGATGTTAAAAACTCTTTTTTTCAATAATAGAACATTCAAAGTGAATCTGAATCCAGTAGAGGTGCAATGTCTATTAACCACAAATACTGAGGATGAGAGGTGGCTAAAGGATTAGAGATTTGGGCACTTGAATTTTAAAAGTCTAAATCAACTTGGAGTGAATCAAATGGTGATCAGGATGCCTTCCATAAAACCACTAGAATAGGTTTGTGAAAGGTGTCTTGTAAGTAAACAATCAAGAAAATATTTCAAGTCTTGTGCACCTTCCAATGCAAGATAATCATTGAAGTGGTTTGTTTAGATGTATGTGGTCCGATTGAAGCTTCATCATTTGGAGGTAACAAATATTTCATGACTTTTGTGGATGAATTCACCAGAAAGGTATGGTTGTATTTGATTAAAGAAAAGACTTATGTGTTGTTTATATTTGTGAAATTTAGTGCATTGGTTGAGTGGCAAAGTGACCATAAATTAAAAATTCTAAAAATTGATGGAGATGGAGAATATAACTAAAAGGAGTTTCATGATTTTTGTAGGAAGGGTATTGAACATAAAGTGATTGCTCCCTATACCCCTCAACACAATGGATTAGCTGAAAGGAGGAATATAAATTTGTTTGATATGGCAAGGTGTATGTTGAAAGGAAAGAGAATGCCTAATTGCTATTGGAGAGAGGTCGTATCTACACTAATAAATGAGTTGAACAGATATCCTATAAGAATGAGGATAATGACTCCCAAGGAAGCATGGAGTCAAAATAAACCAAGTGTTAATCATCTAAGAATTTTCCGTTCCTTATGTTTGTTATAGACACATTCTAGATCAAAAGAGGAGAAAATTGGATGACAAAAGTGAAGTCCTTATGTTAATTGGTTATCACCCATCAGGAGCGTACAAGCTATACAATCCAAGTTAGAGGAAGGTTGTTATTAGCGGGGATGTTACCATGGATGAGACAACATCATGGAGCTATTAGAATAAATCAGATTTAGGCACCGATGTTCAACTTGAAATTGAAAGGGATGAATAAGTTGAACCCAATATTTGAGTTCCTACTATGCAATAGCAAGAGAGAAGATCACAGAAGCTGAGATTTCCATCAAGCATACTTATAGATCATGAAGTGTTTCCAAACAATGTCGTTTTCGTCTGATGGTGAGCTAGTTCACTTGGCTTTCATAGCAGACTTAGAACCAATAAATTGTGAGTAGGCTTTTAAATGAAAGGAATGGAAGAATGTTATGAATGAAGAAATTAATGTTATAGAGAGGAATCATGTTAATTCAAAAGACGATCTTAGATCCCCCACTTTTTGTAAGTTTTAATGATAACAAACACTACGTCTTTCGACAAGAAAACATTTGCAAAAAGTTATTGTTTCAGACTTGGTAAGACGAAGTAATGTTTGTAAGATGAAACAAATCAAACAAAGCATACAATTGTCTAACATGTTCTTAACATCCATTATTTATTATGATTGATGTGATTGAATTTTCAAATGAATGTTTTGTACCTTAATAGATCGAAAATTGTTGTCTTGGAACTTACATGTTTTTAAAGGTGTATAAAAGCATGTAAAGCATCAGAACAAAGGACAAAGATCTCGAATTTCACAAAAAAGGCATAGGAAAAAGACTGCAACCTCACTGCACACTGACTTTTTTTTTTTTTTTTTTCTGTTGTTCTCATTTTGCTATTCTACTTTGATAAGTAGCTTGATCTATCAAAGATAAGGAGTATGTTTAGGTGAAAGACATTAATTAAAGCATTTAATGGATCAACGGATACTTTCTTTCTCTCTAGATCAGATGAAGGTGTAAGATAAAATAGTTATATGAATCAGACTCAAGAAGTTACAATGACCATCTCTTTTGAAGCTA